TATATATATATATATGTGTGTGTGTGTGTGTGTGTGTGTGTGTGTGTGTGTATGGAATTTAGATAGTGCAAAACTGTATAGAAGCAGTAAAGAGCAATGGAACAGTCGTGTGAGTGAAAGAGATGATGTATCACATCAAAGGGGTAGGGAGAGAATGCGTGTGTGTGTGTGTACTCTCACCGAAATAATGAGGCACGTGGTCCATGTGAGAGTAGTAGATTTGCAGCAAATTTGAATACATATGTATATGTGAACACACAGGCCTGCCTGAGCCTGTGGTTGTGTCTGTGTTGGCGTGTGCGTGTGAGTTCATGCGGCTGTGCGTACATAAAAAAGAGACAACTGTCTCGCCCGTTATAAGCAGCCACGGGTAAAAGTGTTGATATTAAATATGCAAAAAGCACAATCGAGCGTTCATCTATTCGCTCGCCATCTATCTCTCTCCCTCCCGCTCTCGCTTTTGCTCACAACTTCGCCCTCGCCTGCAAGGGTTTCGGGTATCGTGTGCGCACAACAATGCGTGCATACGTTAGCTTCTTTACATACAAATAAATACCTATGTATGTATGTATGTATGTATGTCTGTACACACAGCATCTGTAACTATGGGATGTACATACGTACATTCATGAGGCGTATGCGAATCGCGCTTGATGAGCTTTGAGTCTTATCAAGTGTATAAATAATTGACTCGCCTTGCAAGATCCCTTTAACTTCTTTAAACTCTAAGACAGTCAAATGCACATGCATGTACATGCCTTGTTTGTAAGCTTCCATGGTCGGCAGTTCACCTGCGCCTGCCTCCTGGTCACAGCAATTACACCCTCGGTCTTACGTATGCGCTCACCCTCGCGCCTCACCTGGACTTGGTAACGTGCGATCTGGCCCTCGGTTCTAGGTTGTCTTTGCAGATTGCAGAGGTACCGACCGGAAGTTCCTTCATTCCAGGCTCAAATTTAATTGCGAGGCCCAATCAAGGACAACTTTTACCCTACTTCATCTCTACCTGTACCTATACTTCTAACTCTACCTCTACCGTTCTGTTCGTCCCTCGTTTCGCATATGAGTAACGTATAGGATGCACATACGCTCAGACTATGTACGTACATTCACATGCGCTCCAATCCACCTCTCAATTGTATTTCAGGTGCAAACCAGTTTGAACTCGTCACGCGTCTCACACCCGATTCAAAGTTCCTATAATATTTAAGATAAATTAAAGAACAGTACAAAAACAAAACAAAACTTAAATACTACGAAAAATAAATTCAAAGCCCTATATATATCAACCATAAATATCGTAAATGAATATCAAGTATATCGCTCAATCAATGGCAAACAAATCGTGAAATCGTACGGAATCGGATTTCGAATCGGAGTCGTTAATAAGAAGCAAATCAAATGAGACTAATAGCCAAGCGAAATAGATCTATTTGCACTAAGATTTATTAGATATTGGGTAAGTACAGCCAGCAGATTTACCAATTACTTAAATGGAAACTTCGATTCTCTGCGGAGACTTTGAACAACACTAAATCATCATCAATTCACTCATGTATAAAATTATTTATGCACGGAGCTGCGCACTGTCCGACTATTTATCGCATATTATCTCCAAAAAAAAAAAAAAAAAAAAAAAAAAAAAAAAAAAAAAAAAAAAAAACACCAATTCGACATAAGTTGCAAAAACAATCTTTTGGTCAATACACAAAAATAAAAGCCCGAACAGCTAGCTGGATATCTAAACTGCAAATGGAATATAGTAGATTTTTCTCCTTTTCAAAAATGTGGTATACTATATCTCTAAAATAAACAATATAAGATATTATTTGTCGAATTAATCCTATTTATACAACTGATTCCTAGAGTTCGTTAGATTTTCACATACGACGACCACATACGAAATACGACATCGACAACGGATTCCTAGGGTTCCTTAGGATTTTCCTATACGACATACCACATACGACATACGACATCAATGATCAACGACAAAATTGACCTCAAGTAACCCGATTGCGGCCGAGCATTGTGTTCGTAGCCAATTAAAGTAAGCGTAGATATTTGGCGTCGAGGCAAAACCGAGGCGAACGAAAATCACCCTTTAACGCAAGGCGATAATTAGTGGCGAGCTCTAATTAGCCAATGACAAGGCATTTGATGTTTGTGTTGTTTTTCTCCTCCTCATTTAATTTCAGTTATTTGCAATGTAACGCCGCACTCTCTGTAGCAAAAGTTAAAGAGCGCGTCAACTTGTGCGCTTAGCCGCTCTTTCGCTGTTGAGATGCTGGGGGAGAGAGCGACACTTTGTGCCTGCGTGTGTGTGTGTAGCCCCCTTGCTCTGTGACAGAAGAGTAAAGCAACAGTGCGATATTAAGTTCGGCAGCTCGGGTCTTGATTGGTCGTCGCTCGTCGGGCGGCCCCATAGCAGTAGCAGCGGCAGCGGCAGCTCTAGAAGCAGAAGCAGAAGCAGCTATTCCCCATACCATCGTACCCATGTGCTGTCTCTTGCACATATCTCACCCCCTTCGAYACACACACACACGCATCGCAAGTGTTCTGCCTGCTCATATGTTTTATATGGTTTGGCTTAGCTTTGCCCACACCACGCCACATACATACATACATTTGCGTTAGCTCTTCAGCTTTTTGCGCTCACTTCTGCTCTCTACCGTCGCAATAATCAACGTAAGCTGAGGCGCTCTCTTTGCGCGTGTGTTGGCTTCTTATTCTTCGTTTTTTCTTCTTCTTCTTTTGCATGCTTTTCTTTTGTAATGCCGAGTGGTAATATGTTTGTATGGTAAGTTAATTGCTCCTTGTCGCCCGCACACACAGATACGTTCAACCGGCCCGACCCCTTCAAGCCATATACATATGTCTGAATGTATGTATGTATATACATTTGTATGTTTGCCGTCTGCTCTTGTTACTGGCTGAACATCAAACCTTGTGATTCGTTATGGTCTCGAATGGGGAGGAACGCGATGGCACAACCAAACGACTAATTACAAGAGCACGCAATTAACCAGCACAATATAACTAACTGAGTAAGCACACACACAAGTATTTGTATCTGTGTGTGTCTCTTGAGCCTGTATGCTGCCGCTCGACTTTTGTGGACGTTTACATGGATACATGTACATATATGTACATATGTTTGTGTTTCGCTGGTCGCGTCATGTAGCCAATTAAAATAAAGCTGTGCAGACTCCAGCACATGGTATGCGTAATTGTCCTCACACGTACACACATATGTAGGAATATACATATGTACTTACATGCACATATATGAGTATATAGCTATGTATGTGTGATTCTATTTGAAGATTCCATTCTTTGTTACTTTTATCTGAATTCTTCCAAGTGTTTTAATTGGCGCTATGGGTGTGGCCGAATCGAGACAAATTTACATATAGCACTACTCCCACACACACGCGTACATATGTATGGTTATATGTTAGTGTCTCTGTATGTGTGCGCGTCTTCAGCCAGACGTCAGGCATTTCTTACGAGCTCTTCCGTTTGCTCCCACCAAAGCGTGCACATGGAAATCAACAAACAAGGAAGTGGTGGGAATAAAATCGATAAGAGCAAACAACGAAATTAAAATAAAAAGGAATAAGAAAAAACTGCGAAAAAGCTTCTTTTAACCAAAATTCACTGGGGGTCATGCATATACATAGATACGTATATGTATGTAAATATATGTATGTATTTTCGCAAAAGTACATTTCTACGGAATGGTCTCGCGGTGTGAATATATAAAAATAAAAAGGAAAGTTAAACACACACATTTGAATGTAGACATATACATATGTACATATGTATCTTGTTCATAGGTAAATACATATGTAGATAAATTGAATTCCCTGACTTTGGCAATCAATAATTACATTAGAACAAACGTCCTCACATATATATGTATGTATATGTATATGTATATGTATATGTATATGTATATGTATATGTATTTTATTACAATAGATGTATGAAAATATACATACATATGTATATATGTATTCAAATAGAAGTAAGAATGAGAATGTATAAATAATATGGAAAAACAACAACGGGAAGTGCAAGAGGACAGAATGTGGGTGTCGGTTCTGTTAAGGGGAAGTTGACTGATTCTAAAGTAAAATGAAAATGTATGCAAGGAAAATAAGAAATCAGAGCGCAAAAGGAGATAAAAAACCAACTGTAACCGAAAGCAAAAAGGGAATAGTAAACAGACGCGCGCGTAATTGTGCACATTATGCTTCTGAGTGCGTACTCAATGTTTCACCCTCGTTGTCTCTGTCCCTTTCCAGCGATTGCCATAGCTGTAGCTACAACGGCAGTGGCAGCAACTGCTACGGCGACCGCGACAGCGACTAGCTCTTGGGCACTGAGAAACAGCAATAGCAACACCCACAATGAACTGTAACTGAGTCTGGGTGGGGGGCTACGGTGGCGTTGCCATAGAAGACGATGAAGGTGACGACGACGACCAACAAATGCAGAACGAAATCTGTGTATATGCGACTAAGAGAGAGAGAGAGAGAGCGAGAGAGAGAGAGAGAGAGAGAGAGAAAACTGGCAGCAGCAAGTACAAGTCTTCGCGGCGCAGTCAGCGCATTATGTATAAATTATTTATTTACATTATATTTATGCGCGCCGCGCACTGCCGGGCTCTGCCGCTGTGGGCTGTTGTAAGGCGCTCGGCTGCAGGAGCACGACGCGTTCTCCCAGTTGGGCTGCCTCATCGTCTCTGGCAAAGAGACCCCAGCCAACCTCGTTGCCATGCTGAGTGTGAATTTGAGCAATTACAATACAATAAAAAAAATTAAAGGGGTAAGAATTGCAAAGACAAAATGGGAAACTTAATCTGAGCCCTCTATCTATCTCTCTCGATGTGTATGTGTAAGAGAGCAGGAAGGCTTGCAGTTATTATTAAAGCGATATGGTTATTGAAGAATATATGTGTGTATGTATGTATGTACAGACGTGGTCACCGCAAGATAGTGAGCTATGGGAACAGGGAGGGAAATCAGCCAGAGTGAGAGCCAAGGTGGAGAGGCGCGCTGTTGAGTTAAGTACATCTCGCTCTTTCATTTAGCACTGCAGAAATAATTACAAGCTCGCTCTCAGAAAACACATAGCTCTCTTTGTCTCTTTTTTAAGTTATTTTCGATTCATTTTGGCTTTGGCTGAGGCTCTCAGAAATCACATGCTCTCACTCACGGCTCCCTCTCGCTCGGTCTCGCTCTCGCCCTCTCTCTCTCTCTCTCTTGCTATGACTCTTTGTGTATACAATATAATCGTAACACGCTCGCTCTCAATCGGGCGCGAGCGAGATGGGTGCGCTCGGCTCAAACTTAGTGGCAATGATTGCGCTTTACTGCTCATTGCTTTTGTTTTGCGGATGCTGATGCGGCGGCCGCAGCTTCGTCAGCTTTTCTGTTTCACTCGCGCTCGTTTATGATGCTTTAAGGGGTCTCTCATTACCGCTCGTTACCGTAACCCTAAACTTGATATAAGCCAGAGAGATGGGGCTGACTGACTGCTGGCTGGCTGGGGAAGATGACACACCAGCCAGCCGCGCTGCATAAGGCGTGGCTCCGATTCCCACACTCAGACTGCTTGGCTGGGGACTGATGATAAAACATGCCTACTGCAACGACGCGAGGCGAAACAAGGCGAAGCGAGGCGAGACTCGTCCCGCGACTCGCCTTGTCATGTTGTCAGCGACTGTTGTTGTAATTATTTGCATTTAAATTTTTTGGTACAGTTGCAATTACATAGAGAGCACTACAAGCGTATACCATATATGTATGTATGTATATATGTATTTTCGATGTATGCGTATTCACAATTCACATACCCGCATGTATTTTTCACACACTCGCGAATCAACTGCCGTCCATATTCGAGCGTGTGTGTGTGTGTGTGTGTGTGTGTGTGTGTGTGTGTGAGTATATGTGTGTGTTTACATAACGAGTGCTGTGTTAGTATTTAAGCATATTTTGCATGCTTGCACGCCAATCTCACCACCCACTCGACACGCTGTATTGTACACATTATATACATAAATCGTATACATACGAACGTACATAAGTATTTGTGTAGTATGCAGACGATTATTTGTGTGCTGTGTCTGTGTGTGAGTTATAGCAGCGTCGCGCTGTGCGTGGAATATTCGCAGTGCTGCGAATGCGGTTTCCTCATCGCATCTTTTGATTGGTTGTTTGTGCGCCAGCGCTTATCTACAGAGGGCCCCCTCCTGTCGCTCAAGCCTCCTCTGCCCAATTGAGTCTCTGCTGGCTTCGTTAATTAACATTTTCCATTTGCTAAGAAACAATATGCACTTAATTGGCGCAGACAAATCGGCACACGATTCGTCACGGCGCTGGGATCCACCCACCTGTCATTGACTAGGCTAATACATACATATGAAAATAAATTGCACATGAAAAAAAA